CCAGCTGTAGCAGCAGCTGAGCTCTGCGGGGCCTGGGCAAGACCTGAGAGAGGAGGAATAAAGAGGCCAAGGAGGGGCTCGGGGAAGGAGGACGAGCGTGGCCCCTGCACCCTAGAGGGGTAGAAGCTGTAGAAGAAAGACCCCAGACATCGCAGGCCTTGCCTGCACTTACCTCCCTCGGTTCAGAGCATAGGAACATATAGGAACATGAGAATTGCTGCTCACTGGGTCCCACAATAGGTCCATCTCACCCGGTCTCCTGTGGACCTGCTGGACTATGCCAGGCAGGAGCGGGCAGATCCGCTGTGCTGGCCACCGGGATGCACACTGCGTGTGCCCTGCCGCCTGCTCCAGGAGGCTAAGACCGCCCTGCATCACCCAGGTCCTGTGCGAGGGCGGTTCCCACCTGCGGTGCCAGGCTGCATCCCCTGCACCGCCTTCTCCAGAGCCTCTTGCTGAGGTCCTGGCTGCATTTCTCTCCTCACCTCTTTATTTATGCACTCCTCGTCTGTGGCCCCACTAAGGCACAGGACCTCCTGGTCAACGTCCTCCTAGCCCTGGCTAAGCTTGTGCTATATCTCACCAGGAAGGAGGCTCTGGCTGGGAGGGTTCCCAGGGGACTGTGGGGCAATCCCGTCTCCAGCCAGACCATCACTGGGCAGTGCCCACTGGCTCCTTGGACACTTTGAGGGCCACTGTCCAGTGTGCTTTGCTTGGTGTCCCCCCTTGGCACACTAGTTATTAACCTTTGACCTTCACTCACATCCTGGTGATGTATTTTGTTGCCCCCAGTAATCAGTTGCTGCCTTTCCAGTAACCTCCCTGTTTAAGGGGGGCTAATAGTTTACTTGGTGGGCACTGCCCCACAATTTGTTAAGGCAACCAATAGGGCTGTGTCACACAGCAGCAGATCATGGGTGCTGGAAGGGAGAGGGAACTGGATCGGACCAGGTTTCTTCTCCCTTGTTCCACTTGCAGTCTCCAGCATTGAAGGGGCAGGAAGCTCAGATGCAAAGGCCGTGCCCCTCACTCCTGTGTGCAATAGTGACCGATGCCCCTTTCCTCCACGCCCAGTCCCTTGGGGGAAATTGGTACCCTATCATGCTGCATCCAGCTGCACGCTGCTCCCAGCCACATCCCGGCATCGCTGGGCCCTCCACACAGCCCCACACTACAGCCATCCCCAGGGCAGCACTGGCTGCTGGTGGGACTGCAACAGGTTGCACAGGCACGTGTGCAGGCATCCCCTTCCAGCGGCCTCACTTGCTCAGCAAAGACGGGAGCTCTGGGTGCAGACACGCTCCAGGCTCAGCCAGCAGTCCTGAAGTCTTGCAAGCAAGGTCTTTGCTGAGCAGAAAGTGCCCGGTCTCCATGCCTTCCCCTCCATGAGCATAAGGGAGAATTACAGATAGTCCTAAAATGAAGGGAGAATAATCCAAGAGGTAGTTGAGAGAGGACAGAAACTTGAGGCTACCTAAACACAAGTAATCAAAGGGCCAACTCTAGGGGTGCCACTGGTAAGCCAGGCATAGCCCCACCATGCTCCCTGCCACCAGGCTGGCATCGGACTTACACACATCCCAGCTGCCATTGGAAGCAGCAGGCAGGAGTGAAGTACCTGAAGCTCATAAAGAAGGGGGAAAGCACCTTTTCTCTCTTGCTGCATAGAGGAGGGCACAGAGCAATGGCTTGAGTCTGCAGCAAAGTCAATTTAAATTGGCTCCCCTGAAAAAAAAAATCCTCGCTGGCAGAGCAGGGAAGCAGGGGGACAGGTGCCCAGGGGAGCAGTGAGCTCTCCATCGCTGGAGGTGATCAAGAAGAGGCTGGACAACCATTGGTTGGGGATGTTTTAGGTGTAGTGATGCCTATTTTCTTCCATGGGGATTTCCCAGGCTTCTGGGCTTTGCTGTTTGCTTCCCCACATCTTTTTTTCTGCTATACATGTCAGGGGGGGTTTAAGCCTCCCCAAAGGCATTGGGTGTTGGCTGCAGCTAAGCCTGGGGACTTAAACTGGGGTGTGACTATTCTCCTATTAGGAACAAAGCCATTACTAGCTAGAGGGTCTTGCCCCTCCACTCAGGGTCAGTCCAATGCTACATTTGGGGTCAGGAAGAAATTTTACCCCCTGGTCAGATTGGTATGGATTTGGGGGGAAAGAGGGTAGCCTTCATCTGTAGCAGGGGCTATGGCCCTCTACCCGGGACCTCTTGAGCGTATATGGACATTTTCCAGAGGCAAAACATTGGCTGCTATGGGTCCCCTGCTTTGCCTGCAGCAGGTTTGGGTGTGAAGTCTGTGTCGTGTCAGGGTTGCGGGCAGTCTTACGTTGAGTTTAGAGGATGGATGTGTCAGAGCTGGTTTGGACAGGGCTGATCCTGCCTCAGGCAGAGCTTAGACTAGAGGTGACCTCTGCGGCTCCCTTCCAACCCCACTTCTCTTGGAGGCAACCACAGAGGTGATTTTCTCCTGGAGGCTATAAAAGCAGCTGAGGATGGTGCATCACCCATGCAGAAGGAGGGTGGAGGCTGCCCTCAAATCGGACCTGTCAGGGATGAATCAGGCAGGGCAGCATCCAGCCCAAAGGGAAGGGCTGTGGAGGGTCCCAGAGCACAAAGCAGCCTGCAGTGTTGCACAGGGTAGGACTTCAGGGACAAGAGCCTGGAGCCACCACAGATCCACACAAAGGTCCCTTGGATGGAGAAACAGCTGCACAGATCCACCCCCCCCCCCCCCCCATATGCCAAAGGGATGTTTCATGCCTCGGGGGAATAGCTGGGTCCATGGAGCAGCTCCCCCATGGAGCAGGGTGCTGGGGACTAGGGAGTGGAAGGGCACTGGATTTATCAGTCCTCCTGTGGGTCATGGGGAAGGGGTGGCAGTGACAACCTGCTGGGCCCTATCCCGTGTAGCTCCAAGCCCCTTGCAATGGGCTATAGCAGCCCATGCATACCACTGTCCACACCTACCCCCAGCTCCCCTCTCTGCCTCCCAGCTGACCTGAACTGCCCCAGCAATAGGCACCCAGTGTAGCAAACTACCCCAGGGGCACACTCTTGCTCGGCTTTGCCATGACACCAGCTCACCTCTGGGTGGCGCCAGCTCCCTACACTCAGATGGGGCACCCCGCCTGAAGCACCCTGGGCCTGCTCCAGTCCTCCCAGGGACCCCTTGCATCAGGGATGTATTTGTCCCTGGGCTGTCTGCAGGGCAAAAAAGTGTGGCCGGGTTGTGCCTACAACCCTGGGATAAGACATTCAGGCCCTCCACCCCCTGAAAAGGTGCATGGTGGGGAATGCCTCTGGAGAGAGGCAGGTGGCAGCCGGTCTGGATCTCGGGTTGCAAGGACCAGCGGCTCACTCTTGGCTTGGCATCCCATCTGCTCCACCCTTGCGATGTCACTGGCATTGGGTTACAAGGGGGTGACATCACAAGGTGACACAGGTTGTGTCAGCCGTGCCCCTGGCTCATGTACCAGCTTCTTAGGCACCCCTCACCTGTGCAGTGATGCCTGTTTTCCTATGGGGAGTTTCCAGGCATCTGGGCCTTGCTGGTTGCTCTCCCCTCTTTCTGCTCTATGTGTCAGGGGGGTTTAAGCCTCCCCCAGAGATGCTGGGTGCTGGTTGCAGATGGGGACCAGGCTGTGCCAATGCTCCTGCGGGCACCAACCCCACAGGGTCCTGGATAGAGGGTCTTGCCCCTCCGCCCAGGGTCAGACTGATGTTGCATTTGGAGGCAGGAAGAGATTTCCCCCTCTGGTCAGATCGGTATGGATTTGGGGGGGAGGGGGTTGCCTCCCTCTGTAGTGGGGGCACAGCCTCTGCTTGGGGGGGGGTCTCTTGAGAGTCTACTAACAACCTTTTATAGCAGCGGGATGTTGGCTGCCATGGTCCCCCTGGGGCAGGTTGGGGTGTGAGGTCCGCATTGTGCCAGGGTTGACGGTAGTTTTATGCAGAGTTTAGATTATGGATTTGTATAGGATGGTTGGATAGGGATCGAGTCCTAGAGAAGTGGGGCTGGCAGGGACCTCCGGAGGTCACGGCTAGTCCAGCTCTCTGCCTGCAGCAGAATCAGCCCAAAAAATCATCCCTAACCACACCTCAGGCAGGGAGTTGGGCTAGAGACCTAGAGAACGTGATTTTTTGAGGCAAAGCAGAGGGAACTGAGTTTATTTATACTGGAGAAGACTGAGACGGGGATTTGATAGCAGCCTTCAACTATCTACCCAACACCCTCTCCACCTGGGTAGCTCCCCTGCTACTTACGAATTAAAACTAAACAGGATTTGCTCCAGAGCTGGACGCTTTAATGCCACACACTATAAAACTGGCTTTAAAGGACAGTGCCATATGTGTGTGTGGCGATGCACCAGACTGCTGACCACCTGGCTGGGTGATGAACACCCGGCAAGCATCAAGGATAAAGCAGTTGTGTGGCTCCACCACATGAGTGATGTGTAAAGGGGGAAATGAAGTATAGGAGAGAAGAACTCCCTGCAGAGGGTTGCAAAGAGGATGGAGCTGGGCTGGTCCCTGGGGGGGCACAAGACAAGGAGCAATGGGCTCAAGCTGCAGCAAGGGAAGTTGAGGTTGGATATTAGGGAAAACTTTCTCACGAGGAGGGTGGTGAAGCACTGGGACAGGCTGCCCGGAGAGGTGGTGACGTCTCCATCCTTGGAGGTGTTAAAGCCTTGGCTGGGCTGATGTAGTTGGGGCTGGTCCTGCTTGGAGATGTGAGCTCCTTCCCAACCCTCCTTTTCTATGGTTGTGTCTAGATGTGACCTCCAAGGGGTCCCTTCCAGCCCCACTTTGAATCACAGAAGAGGGGGGTTGGAAAGGATCTCGCATCCAGTCCAATGCCATCACCCCCTTGCACAGCTCAGACACAAGCAGGCACGAACCCGCGGGCAGGGACCGGGAGCGGCGGCCGGGGGAGGGACGGGGCGGGCGGGCCGTCGAGGCGGGGCAGGGCCGGGCTTGCAGCACGGAGAGGAAGTGGAGGGGCTCCTGCAGCCCGCCCGCAGCGCCTCCAGCCCCCGAGATATGAGCCCAGGTGAGTGCCTGGACCTGGGTGTGCAATGCACCCTGGAAGGGGGGCTGCTGCGAGCTGGGCGTGCAATGCAGCCTGGAAGGGGGGCTCCTGCGAGCTGGGCGTGCAATGCACCCTGGGCTGCTGCGAGCTGGGCGTGCAATGCACCGTGGAAGGGGGGCTGCTGGGAGGTGGGCGTGCAATGCAAGCTGGGAAGGGTGCGAGTTGGGCGTGCAATGCACCCTGGACGGGGGGCTGTTGGGAGCTGGGGGTGCAATGCACCCTGGAAGGGGGGCTGCTGCGAGCTGGGCGTGCAATGCAGCCTGGAAGGGGGGCTCCTGCGAGCTGGGCGTGCAATGCACCCTGGGCTGCTGCGAGCTGGGCGTGCAATGCACCGTGGAAGGGGGGCTGCTGCGAGTTGGGGGTGCAATGCACCCTGGAAGGGGGTCTGCTGGGAGCTGGGTGTGCAATGCACCCTGGAAGGGGGTCTGCTGGGAGCTGGGTGTGCAGTGCACCCTGGAAAGGGATCTGCTGGGAGCTGGGTGTGTGTAGTGCACCCCGGAGAGGGATCTGCTAGGAGCTGGGTGTGCAGTGCACTCTGGAGAGCAGATCTGGGTGTGTAGTGCACGTTGGAGAGGGGATGTGCTGGGAGCTGGGTGTGCAGTGCACCCTGGAGAGGGGAGCTGGGTGTGTAGCACACCTTGGAGAGGGGATCTACTGGGAGCTGGGTATGTGCAGTACATCCTGGAGTGGTGGGGTCCCATTCAGCAGG